AAAAAAGGAAAAAAAAAAGAGAAAAAAAATGTTTTTTGAAAAAATGATGAAAAAAATTTAATTAAAACCAACAACAACAATAAAATGTTCGTAATTTTTTTTTTTTTTGACTCGTACATAAAATTTTTAAAATCGTGGTTTTAGAAAAAAGAAAAACCGCCTTTTTTTAGGAGGGGAGGGGTGAAAGAAAATTATAAAATTTTTCTGTTTTTATAATTTTTGTAGATGGGAAAGAGAAAAAAAAAAATTTGAAACTTCTACGATTTTTGTATTTTGATAAATGTTAAATTATTTTTTAAAAAATGATGATGATAATGACGTCATAATTAAATAAATTTTAAAAAGATTTGTTGGTGAGGGAGGGAGGAGGAGGAGGGAGAAGGGAGAGAAAGAAAAAAATTTTTTTTTTAGATTTAATTATTGAATCCGTCGCTATTAAAAAATATATAAAAAAAAAAAAAAACCTTTTGTCAATTTAAACTCTTGTAACCTTTCGGGTGAAAAAAAGGTTGCGTGAAAAGGGAAAAGTAATCGTGATAAATTATTAAAGGCTCAATTTAAAAAAAATTTATTAAAGGAAAAAGGAAGAATCGAAGAGTAAAAAAAAAAAAAAAAAATGGAGAAAGACGAAAAAAAAAAAGAAAATCGGGGTTAATTGTTTTATATATTAAAGCTATTTAATGATACTCGTGGAAAACGTTAAAACGTAATGAAAAGCGAACGAGGCGTTCAGGTTTCAGGCACGCATCTTAAAATGCGTACATTAAATCCGTTTTTATTTTTTATTTTTCGTTGCTGGAACGAGCGCGTGGGGAAGGATGTGGTAGGGGGAAGAGGAGGGGAGGAACGAATTACGTTTTTTTTAAATATTATTATTATTATTATTATTATTTCATGGATTTTAACAACCATATCGGCTGTCGAATTAATTTTATGATGAGTGACGTTAAACGAAATGAGTAAGAATTTTTCTTAAAGTCCTAAGGGTCACACTTCCGCGTGACCTTTTCTCCTCCTTTTTCGGAAAATCGGACAGTTTGCTTTGTGTTAAGTAAGATAAATGACGTCATGAAATAAGAGTAAAATTTATCTCGCGTCTTTTCATTTATACACCGAATTCCAGTTACATCGATAATTAAAATCTCGAGCGAATTCCTTTTTTCATTATTGTTATTATTATTATTATTATTATTCTCTTGCAATCGAATCGTTGTCTTCTCCTATACCCCGCGTTCATCTATTTCCGGTTTGAAATTTCCCATGTTTTCGTTTCCTTTATATTAAAATTTTATTCAATGCCGGAAAAAACAAAAAAGTAGCCGACGGGTATTCATTTATTTTTGTTTGTTTAACGAATTTATTTATTATTGTTTAAAATAATAATAATAATAATTACATATTTTATTTAAGAAGAAGTCAAAAGATCTGGAAAATTTTTTTTTTTTGACATCGTATGTTAAAAAATTAATGCGCTTAAATTTTTAGAAAAAAAAAAAAAAAAAAACATTTTTTTTTTTATTTATTCCTCCTGACATGTTTATTTAATAATAATAATAATAATAATTTTTACGGGATAAAAAAAATCGTAAACTGAAAAGAAAATGTCTTTTCTTTTTTTTTTATATTTTCCAAAACAAAAAATGCGTGCTGGAAAAGTCGTTATGAAAATAAAATAAAAAAAAGGAAAATTTTTTTTTTTTAAACGTTTTTTACGGTCGAAAATAATTTTTTATGTATTAACTTAAAAGGGGTATGACGTGAGAGCATGAGTGACGTCATTTCTTTTCGTTTCGCATCGAAATAAGTTAGAAAGAAATAATAATAATAATAATAATAAATAAATTTTTACAAAATTAAATTTTTTTTTTTTTTTTTTTTTTGGTTAACGGAAAACTCTTGAACATCGTTTGTAACGATGATGATGATGATGATAATTATTCGTTAAAATAATTAAACAAATGAAAATTTTATTATTATTATTATTATCATTATTTATTATTTCAATTAATTTTATTTTGTAATTAACAATTTGTTTTTTTTTTTTTTTTACGTTATTCACGCTCCCGTTTTTACGTTAATTTTCTTGTGCGGGAAAACCTTTTTAAACTTTATTACTACTATTATTATTATTAATATTATTATTATTATTATTAACGGCATCGATTTTTTTCGACGAATTTGTCAGCGTCGATAATAATGATTATTACGAGTTTTTTTTCTTAAATTTTTTAATCTTTTTAAAATGATAGCGTACGATAAATGGTTTTTTTTTTATAATTATAATAAATTATTATAAAGTAATTTAAAAAGAGAAAATTATTATTATTATTATTATTATTATTATTATTATTATTATGAGCAGTTAAAAAATTACCGGGGAATTAATTCTTTAACTAAGAATAAAGAGAAAAAATTTTTTTTTCTTTTTTCTCGTGGAATATTTTGTAAAAAAGATTTTTTCTCTTAATTATATTTGACGATAACGATAATATTATTATTATGATTATCATTATTATTATCGATGATAAAGTATCAGACGAATTTTGGTGAGGAATTCATGTCGTCGAAAAGTTTTTCCATCATCCCTTCGTTTTTTTTTTTCTTGAATTTATTCATAAGGAATGAATTCATCACAGATGAATGAAATCTCTGAGGTGGTGTTCATATTTATCATCATTATCATCATTCACGCATACGTCACAAAAATGGCGACGTTTTTCGAATTTCGTTTTTAAAAAAAAAATGAAATTGTCTGGATTTCCGAATCATTGAATGAATTCTCAAATTTTTTTGAAATTCAATTTTTCACGTAAACTCGGTTTCACGCGTTCGGATACAAAATAAAATTTTTTTAAAAAAGAAAAATCCCGAAAGGGAAACGAAAATATTTTCCCACCCTTAACAATTTGTTATCTTGTTTGTTTGTTTGTTTGTTAATAAAAAAAGTTAAACCGTTTTGAATTTATTAAAAAAATTTTTTTTTTCAGATGCTGCAGACGATCAATCGTTGGTTAACGAAAAAGAAAAAATGTCGGGGTACGAGACAAATTTATATCTCTACTCGGTAAGTCGTAATTTTCTTTTTTTCCCAAGAGTTTTCGCGAAAATTTTTACTATTGATAAAATTGTAAAAGAAATTTTTCCCCGTTGACCCCTCCCTTAACTATTTTCACGCGCCGCATTTCCTCCTCTGGTTTTTCCGAGTTTGAACACAAACACAAAAAATTATGAGAAAACTTGATCACGAACAAATAATAAAATTCGTGTGTTGTCCAAGTTATAATTTTGTGTGGCATCCTGTTTCGTCATGAATACAAATTTTACGGTATATTTCGAAAATAAAAAAAAAAGGAAACAGCAGAAGAAAAACGAAATCCTTGAGAAAATTTAAAAAAAAAAAAAAATTTAACTTTTCTCCATTTTCTCTTCGTTTTCTCCCAGAATTTCTCTCTCTTTTTCTCTTTCTCTTTCCTTTTTTTTGTTTTTCGAGTGTTTCCTTTTTTTTTTTTTTTTATGAAAATTTAATAAGTTTCGAAATAAATTATACGTCGTGAATAAAAAAAAAAAAAAAAATTTAAGATGAATTTGTTTGTTGTGTTCTTTTTATAAAATACCCCCCCCCTCTCTCTCTCTCTCTCTCTCTCTCTTTCTCTTTCTCTCAGTCTCTCTCAGTCAGTCATTTTTTAATTTCGAAATGAAAAAAATTTTTCGACGATGTGTGACGTCATAAAGAAAACGACGACATTATTATTTATCATAACCGAGAGTCGTTTTCAATGTTGGCATTACTGAAAATAATTTTAAAAAAAAAGAAAAACAACCGTCGAATCCGTCGTGTAAAATAATTGATTGAACTCGCGACGATAAATCACGTGACCGATTATTATTTTTCCCTTTTCCAGTGCCTTTGAAATGTGTTTTACACACAAAACAACAGGAAAAACAAACCTTTCGATGGAAAAAAGGTCGAAAGGATGAATGGATGAATGGTTGGTTAGATGATATTCACATATTAAGGTTTTTCACGACGATATTGACACGCCCTTGGCCTCTTCCTGGAAAATTTAAATAAACTTTTTTTTTTTTTTTTTTTTATACGAAATCCAGGTTTTCGCTTTAGGAAATTTTCGAAAATAATATTTTTTATGACGTGGGAGCAGGAAGTGGGAGCAGGGGGAGAAAAGAATCCCCGAAAAATAAAATTGATTTTTCGATGTGTTTTCCTGTGTGCGAGTTTCATAACATTTAAATAAAAAAAACAATTTTTTCTAATTCCACGTTGCGTAAAATTTTTTTTTCCCGCAAAACTTTCACCGGAAGTAGTTTCATTTTTTTAAAGTTTTTCTTTCCGTACAAAAAATCCGTAACCGAAAATTTATTTGATTCGATATATTCGTAGCAAATTTAATATTTTTTTTTATTTTTTATTTTGCTCAAGAAAAAGAGAAAAAAAAGTAATTGAATTATTTTTTTGGAAAATAAAATTCAAATTTTAAATTTCCCGCCTTTTTCCTATTCCCCCGCTTCGAGGAAAGACAAATAATTTTTTTTTTAGAGAGAGAGAGAGAGAGAAAAAAATTTTGGATTTTTTAAATATTTAATAGGAAGAATTGGAAGATCGTCCCCGTATTTCGCTTATACTCAATTCTTTGGCCAACTATAGCAACACGATTCCAGCACCAGCGGATCCAGATGCGAAACCAGTCACTGGAGGAGCTCGTATGGGTACCCTTATCGGGGTATACCTTCCATGCATTCAAAACATTTTCGGCGTCATTCTTTTCATTCGGTTGACTTGGGTCGTCGGTACTGCTGGTGCCATCGCTGGATTTCTTATCGTTTTCTGCTGCTGCTGTGTGGTAACGTGGTTTGTTTTTTTACCCAATAGATAACCCGAAATTTATTTTTCTTTTTTTCTCTCAACCACCTACTCTTTTTTCTCGCACATTTTTTGCAAAAAAAAAAAAGCAGAAGACGAATCAATAACAATCGAATTAAAATTTTTAGACCATGTTAACGGCTATATCGATGAGTGCGATAGCAACGAACGGTGTGGTTCCCGGCGGAGGTTCTTATTTTATGATATCTAGATCGTTAGGGCCCGAGTTTGGAGGAGCCGTGGGCATGTTATTTTACACCGGTACGACTCTTGCAGCTGCTATGTATATTATCGGAGCCGTGGAAATCGTGATCGTAAGTTATCATGCACCCACCCACCCACGCACCCACCAATTGAATCGACATTTTCTAACTCCTTGCACGGTTACAGACCTACATGGCACCAAATATATCAATTTTTGGAGATTTTACAAAAGACCCGAGCATTATGTATAATAATTTTCGCGTGTACGGTACAATATTGCTCCTCATAATGGGTTTGATCGTTTTCGTCGGCGTGAAATTCGTTAATAAATTTGCTACCATCGCTCTCGCCTGCGTTTTGCTATCGATAATTGCTGTCTACGCCGGCATTTTCGTCAACTTTAACGGAAACGACAAATTAATGTAAGTAAAAAAAAAAAAAAAAAAAAATTTGAATTAATTTTTCTTTCATCCGGAAAGGAAAAGTCGTAGTAATAACAATAATAGTAATAATAATAATAAATTTCTTATCATCTTATAAATGGATACTATTTCAATTGTTTAATTAATTCAAAAATCTCTTTGCTTTTAAAAAAAAATAATAATAATAATAATAATTTTTTTGAGAACGTGAGACGAATTTTCTTTTTTTCGCTTCGTTTTCCTTTTCCTTTTACAGTTTTTATTCTTTTTCCGTTGTTTCCTCCTGTTTTTCTTTTTTTTTTTTTTTATTTGATGTCGTAAAAAACGATTTCTTTAATGTCACCACCATTTTCTTTTCTTTTTTTTTTTTTTTATACGTGTGTGAAAAACCCATTTAGATTTTAAATATTTTCATTTACCGTAATAACTACAACTATAACGATAAAAATTTATTTTTATTATTATTATTATTATTATTATCACTATTATTTTTAAAGTGTGAGTGATCCTTAATGATTTTTGCACGACCGTAACATTTTTACTTTTGAAATTAAGTGCTCGTGCGTATCACGAACACGTATATACGTATTTAGTCAATCCAATTACTAATAAATTTTTTTTTAGTTTTTTTTTTTGTTAACAATTAATTAAATTTAAAATCGTTCCAGTCGGTTTTCTATTAATTATTATCACGTCTTCTTATCATTTTAAACGTTTATTTTAATTATTAATTTTTGGAAAAGAGGAAAAAATGAGGAGAAGGAGGAGGAACGAGAAAAAGAAGAACAATTTTATTAAGCAGAAAGGTTTACAAGGTTTAATTTTAATTATTTTAAGGTTTAACGTAAAATACGATTCGGGTAAAATACTGGAAAGGTTTTGAAAACCTTCGAGGTAATAAGAAAATTTCCAAAAAAAAAAAAAAGAAAATTCTCAAAAGAATTCAAATTAAAAAGTTTTCTTTGGTACGACGGCAAAAACTTTGTTTTCGCCATTTTTTTTTTTTTTGGGGGGGGAAATATCCGACGGGGTTTTCCCAAAGCTTTTTCCATTAAAATAATAATAATAAATTCAATTGTAAAAACAGGATGTGCGTATTGGGAAATCGTTTACTCAAGGACATTGACATTTCCGAATGCAATAAAACATCGGAAATACTTCGAACAATTTTTTGCGGTAACGGAACTGATGAATTTGGATCAAGTTGTGATCCCTATTGGTTAAAGAATAATGTGTCGATTGTGCGTGGAATTAAAGGATTATCCAGCGGCGTATTTTTAGGTTTGTGTTAAAAACTCTTTCGAATCGCAATAAATCTCATTTAAACCCACCTCCATTTGTATTTTGTTTATAAATTTAGACAATATTCGTCCGAGCTTTTTAGACGAAGGACAATATATTTCAAGAACGATGAATCCCGAAGATATCGAACCATTGGACAGGCCGAGTTACAATCAAGTCATGGCGGATTTAACGACAACCGTAACAATACTCATCGGTATATTTTTTCCATCGGTTACCGGTGAGTATGACAAAACCTTAATCGATGTATGCAATGCGAGAGCAAATGATCGTCACAAACATTTTTTTAGGTATCATGGCCGGATCGAACAGATCAGGAGACTTGGCAGACGCACAAAAATCCGTTCCGATCGGTACGATTTGCGCCATATTGACAACTTCCACGGTTTACTTGTCGGCCGTTTTACTGTTTGCCGGAACCGTTGATAATTTGCTCCTAAGAGACAAGTCAGTTTCTCCCTCCCCCCCTTCCTTATCCGGGAAACGTCATTCCCTTTTTTTTTTTTTTTTTTAGAAAATTTTAATTAAAAAAAAAAAAATTGATTTTTAGATTCGGACAAAGTATCGGTGGTAGATTGGTGGTGGCAAACATTGCTTGGCCTAACGAGTGGGTCATTTTAATCGGATCTTTCTTATCGACTTTAGGAGCGGGATTACAAAGCTTGACGGGAGCACCACGTTTGTTACAAGTACTTATAATTTGGTAACACATACGATGAGATTGAAAAAAAAAATAATAATAATAATAATAATGAAAAATGTCGTTTTTGCTTCGTTTTGATTAAATAATTAATAAAAAAAAATTATTATTATTATAGGCCATTGCTAAAGATGCGATAATACCGTTTTTAGCACCTTTTTCTGTATCTTCCAGTCGGGGAGAACCCACTAGAGCTTTAGTTCTTACACTGTGCATTTGCCAATGTGGAATACTTTTAGGAAATGTTGATTATTTGGCACCCTTGCTCTCAATGTTTTTTCTCATGTGTTACGGATTTGTTAATTTAGCTTGCGCCGTACAAACATTGTTGAGAACACCCAACTGGAGACCAAGGTTGTTTCACAAAAAACTTTTCGGTTAAAAGTTTAAACAAAAGTTTTTCCGTTTAATTTACTCGTTTGTTTTTTTTTTTCTTTTTTTCCATTAAAATTTATTATTCCAGGTTTAAATATTATCATTGGTCTTTAAGTTTTATCGGTTTGTCTTTATGCATTGCTGTCATGTTCATGACGAGTTGGTATTATGCTCTCGTAGCTATGGGAATGGCTGGACTCATTTATAAATATATAGAATACAGAGGGTGAGAAGAATAAAATTAATTTGAAATCCATCCAAAAAAAAAAAAGAATCAATAATAATAATAATAATAAATTAAATGTTCAGCGCTGAAAAAGAATGGGGCGATGGAATTCGCGGTCTCGCATTGTCCGCTGCTAGATATTCTTTATTACGTCTTGAAGAAGGACCCCCTCATACTAAAAATTGGAGACCACAAATACTCATACTTGCCAAACCGAACGATGAATTAAATCCAAAATACAGGAAAATATTTTCATTTGCTGCACAGTTGAAAGCTGGAAAAGGTTTTTGTTTTTACAAATTTTTTTTTTTTTTTTCGAACTGATTAAAAAGGTTTCCTTCCATTTTTTTTTTTTTTTTTTTGTTGTAGGATTGACGGTATGCGTTTCCGCAATAGCCGGAGAATATGCAAAAAATGCGAGCGAAGCTTTGGCAGCTAAACAAAGCTTAAGAAAAGTTATGGATGAAGAAAGGGTCAAAGGATTTGCCGACGTAGTCGTTGCCAAATCTATTCCGGATGCTTTAAGTCATTTGTAATTTAATAAAAAAAATTTCAACTGGATTTTTTGTTTTTTTTTTTTCGGGGAGGGAGGAGGGAGGCGAGAGGAAAAGTTAAAATTCTAATTCTTTTTTTTTTTTTTTGTTTTTTTATCAGAGTACAAACAACCGGTTTGGGTGGAATGAAACCGAATACCGTAATACTTGGATGGCCGTACGGATGGAGACAATCAGAAGACGATCGAACGTGGCACGTATTTTTAAATACTGTCAGAACCGTCGCAGCGGCAAGGTTGGCACTACTCGTACCCAAAGGAATAAATTTTTTCCCGGATTCGACCGAAAAGGTTGGTATGAGTTTATAACAAAATAATTTTTTTTGTTTCCGTTTAATAAAAAAAAAAAAAAATTTTATTCTTTTAGATTTCCGGTCACATCGATGTCTGGTGGATAGTACACGACGGTGGATTACTCATGCTACTTCCGTTTTTACTCAAACAACATAGAACTTGGAAAAATTGCAAAATGAGAATTTTCACGGTTGCTCAAATGGAAGATAATTCGATACAAATGAAAAAAGGATTGAAAAAATTTTTATATCAATTGCGAATTGATGCGGAAGTCGAAGTCATAGAAATGGTAGGAGTTAACACGACAAAACAAACAAGCACAAAAAAAAAAAAAAAATTCCGCCATTTTCATTATGTGAAAAGACTTTTCTTTTTTTCTTTTTTTTTTCATTTACATTGCATGTTGAATTGTTGTCATTCTTCGTCCTGTTTTTTGACTACTTAATGTCTCATTCAGGTCGACAGTGACATTTCAGCGTACACATACGAGAGAACATTAATGATGGAACAACGAAATCAAATGCTGAGGGAACTGAGACTGAACAAAAAAGAAAGCCTTGGCGTGGTAGGTTTCATTCACACATACCTAAATTATTCATAATAAAAGTGAAAAAAAATTTTTTTTTGGGGGGGAAAGGGGGATAAATTAAAAGTAGAAAAGGGGGGAGGGTAAAAAAAAATGTTTTTTTTCATTCTCGTTTTGTTTTTGTTTATAAACAAAAAAAAAAAAAATATTTTTGTTGATAAATGCAGAACTTTGTTGACTTCACTAATTCGCCGGAGGATACAGAACCGTTGGTGGGTACATAATATATATATAAATCATACCATTGGATTGCTTGGAGACCCCCACATAATTTTTATTTATTTATTTATTTTATTTTATCACACGCATAAAAAAAAAAAATTTTCTGCATCATTTCACGGCGGATTTATTATTACTTAAAAAAAAAAATGGGAAAATATAAAAAAAAAAAAAAAAAAAAAAATGAGCAAAAATTTATGAATTTTTATCTCATATTCTGACTGATGCAGAAAAAATTTTGACATTTTATCACGTTCTCCTCATTCAGTCAATCATTCAGTCAGCCATTCATTCATTCATTCCATTTTAACTTGAATGTTTTTTTTTTTTCTCTCACTCAATTTAATTGGCTCTCAGACATGCTTTTTTATTTTCTTGTGATATATATATATAAATATTTTACAACGACATTTTTTATTTTTCTAATCCGATCAAGTGTTTTGTTTGTTTGTTTGTTTGTTTGTTTGTTCGTTCGTCTGTTTGTTTATTTATTTATTTATTTAAATATAAAATCATCTACTTTTGTTCTTGTTTTTTTTACGACGTTCGAAATGATTTTAAGTGTGCATCGTCGTCATCATCATCATCATCAATTGTTTTCATATGTGCGTGTGTGCGTGTTTTTATTTGGATTCGTACGTTTTAACGCGCACTTACTCACGTATAAACGCACACCCACGAATTTCTCGTAAATATTTTTGTCGTATAAAAAAAAAATAAAAGAGTTTTGAAATTTTCTCATCGAATTAAATTTTTTTTTTTTTTTTCGCCACAATTTTGACTTTCAAATGATTTTGACCGTGAAATTTAAAAGTTCATCATCGTCATCATTATCATCATCAATTTAATTTGTTTTTGAAAAGAAAAAAAAAAAACAAAAAAATTTTAATTGATGATGTAAGTCAATTAATAATTAATTGACAAAATTAAAAAAAAAAAAAACTCGCGTTCGGAAAAACGTTTAATTATTATTAAAAAAAAAAAAAAATTTGTAGGATTTTCCGCAAATGATTTTTCCCACATTAAAAAAAAAAAAAAATAAGAAAATGGGGCGTAACTTTAAAATTTTATTATTATTATTTTAAAGAAAATAAAGGAAAACCTTGAAATCAATATCACAAATCATTCATTAATCAATTCATTAATTAATTAATTTGAAAGTAGATGTTTTGCGTTTTTTATTATTTGTTTGACGTTTCGATTCTTTAAGAAAAAAAAAATTTTTTCTTTGCCTCTAATGGCGTCTTATCGGGATGGATTTTAGGTTCAGGCAATCGTCGATCAATACCACGATGTTAAAACAGCTACGAAAGTACGATTTCAAGAACCCGGAACGGAAGATGATGTTAAAGAAGAAAAAGATACGGAGACGGGAGTAGAAGAAAAAACGGTTGAGGAAAAACCTCCACCGTCAGATGAAAAACCGGAAGTCGATGTAAATTCCTCTGGTGATAATAATAAAATAACGGAAAAGGAAATATCAGATTCTGGTGATAATGATAAACCATCAAATTTTACACCGTTCGTATTATTATTATTAGTTTTAATATTAAAAAAAAAAAAAAAAAAATTTTTAATGTGAAATTTTTTTGATTTTTTCACACACACACAGAGACGAAGGAAACGTGAGGCGAATGCACACGGCTGTGAAATTGAATGAAGTCATTGTAAATAAATCATACGAAGCTCAGCTCGTTATATTGAACCTTCCAGGACCCCCGAGAGAAACTAAAATGGAAAGAGAAGCAAACTGTATCCTTTTTTATTTTTGTTTTTTCTTAAGACCTCCAACCGCTTATGTAATTTTCTTAACGATACAATCAAAACAACAGACATGGAATTTTTAGAAGTTTTGACGGAAGGTTTAGAAAGAGTTTTAATGGTGAGAGGTGGAGGTCGAGAAGTCATAACCATTTATTCGTGAAGAACCAATATAAAGAAAATAGTTTTTTTTTTTTCTTTTTTTAAATAAAAACAACAAACAACAAATCAAAACGTCATTCCAACTTCGACTGGGTATATACTTTATCGTCGTGGATATTATAAGAGTGGAGGATTCTTTAAACAAAAAAAAAAAAAATTATTAATTATATTGCGTAGAAATGTAGGAACCTTAAAAAAATATTTAACCAAACTCGTGCAATAATCGATCGATCTATCGATCGATCCATCGATCCATCGATCACACATCCACAAAACATTTTAAGGTACGTTATTAATTTAATTTAATTACATAAGAGAAACGATTTCTTTTTAGAGTCCTTTAGAACAGGTAAAAAAAAAAATCGTGGTCAATCTTTGTTAATCTTTCGCAAAACAAAAAAAAAAAAGGGAAAATCTTTTAGCTCTGTGAAAAAATTGTGCCATTTTCTTTTTTTTTCTCTTTTCTTAAAAAAAAAAAAAAGTCAAAAAAACAAAAAAAAAAAAATATTGAGTTGTATATATATAGATATTTAAATGTATAGAAATTTTATTTTTAGGTTTAGGTATAATAGTTACGAATCGTTTTGTTCCAACTTGACTTTTCAATTCTTAACTCGGAAAAAAACCAAAAAAAAAAAAAATTAGACGTAGACGTTTTTATTATTATTATTATTATTTTTGTTTTTTTTTTTTTTTTTTTTCCTAATTGAAAGCTTTAAATTACCGTCGTTTTAAGTAGAAATCGTGAATTCGTCTTTCAAAATAAAAATAAAAATTCGTTTATTGTTACCGTACTAAAATTATTATAAGTTTATTAGATTTGCGAAAGAGTGAGAGAGTGAGAGAGAGAACGTTCGGAAAATTTTTTGGGAAATTTAAATTTGTCAAAATTCGTTCGAGAAAAATTTTTTTTTCTTTTTTTTTGAATGAAATAAGTATAACTGTTTTTCAACCGTCCCGCTATTACTGCTCCTCCTACTCTTGCACCTCCTGCTATTCCTGCTGCTGTTGCTCCTGTTCCTTCGCCGAATCTTCACCTTTTTGACGTCTTATTACTTCTTTTCTCCTGATATTTTCCTTTTTCAAAAAAAAAAAAATTCCTTTAATTGTTTAAATTTAAAAAACGGACTTTGTTGAGTGGGCGTGAGGGGGGAGGATACTCTCGGGTGTGGAAATCGCAGGGGAAACTTTTATTAAAAATAATAATAATAATAAAGCAATAGGAAAAAATTTAATTTGAGGTTTCGCGCTTCAATACTCATCATGCTCAAGTTTCACTTTTACGTTTTTTTCTACATTTTCTATTTATTAAAAAAAATAAAAATAAATAAATAATATTTATATAAATATATATATATATATACGGTCCGAAAGGAGCGTTTAGATAGTTTAGTTTTATAATAATAATAATATAAATAATAATAATAATAATAATAATAATAGAAAAAAAATATATATGTGTGTATCTCGTTACGGACGGACTTAAAAATATGTTTGATTTCATCGATACGAAATTTTACTTACTGGAAATTTTTCTTGTTTTTAATATATTTTTCAAATCGGTTTAATAAAATTTAACAAAAAAATAATAATTATAATAATAATAATGATAATAATAATAACAATGATGAAAAATAAATTATAATTCTAGAGCAGTAAAGTCCAAAAAAAAAAAAGTAAAAAAAAATGGTTTCTTTCATTAATAATTATTTATTCTTTAAAAATTAAAATTTGAGAGTATATAATAATAATAATAATAATAATAATAATAAGGTTAGAAAGGTACTACTAATAATACTACAACTACAATTACTACTACTACTACTCACTCTTTAAATGTATCATCTATCTAGCGCGTGTACATAAAAATTAGATTTAATAAAATCATATATAGTCGTCTTAAATAGCAAACAAAAACAAGAAAAAAATTCACTTTACACGATTATTACTCGTATGTAGATTTTTATTATTTAAAAAAATTATTAAAATGTTGGCACACCTGAAAATTTATATTACAAAAAAAAAAAATTATTTTCTCTATGGGATCAGGTGTAAAAGAAAAGCGGGGTGCAGGGTATGGGAAAAAACAAGGTATTTATGTAAGCGTGAAAGGAAAGGAAAGGAAAAGGAAAAATAATTTTTTCATTATTTTTTTTTAATAATTAATTTATTACTCTAGAAAACAAACAAAACAAACAAGCAAACAAAACAAACAAGAAAAAAAAGCAATAAAAAATGAAAAAAATCATTTCTCCAAAAAAAAAAAAAAAAAATTGAAGAAAATATATTATTATTATTATTACCGTATAAATTTTCCGGGTCGACTTATTTTATTGACACGTGCACACAGACACAACATACATGCATAAATGATTCGTTAATGCCACGTTTTATTTTAAATTTTTTTTTTTTCTCCCCGTTAAAAAAAAATAATTAATATTATTAAAAAAATTCTTTATTGATTATTTATTTATCAAGTTATATTATTAAAAAATATATAAAGAATAAATAATAATAATAATAATGATAAAGAGAGATAATAGTTATTACGTGTTATAAAAATTTTAATATTATAATAATATATAATTAATAATATAATTTAAAAAAAAAAAAACTTTGTTACCGGTTAAAAGTAATTCTATTTATTAAAATAAATAAATTATATTAGAAATTTTTTTTTCAGTATATATTTATATATATATACTATGAAAGTATAAAATTTATATATTATTATTATTATTTTCGCGAGACGAAAATTATTTAAATATATATATATATATATAGAAAAATTTATTTCACGTTTCGTATATTGAATAGTTTATATTAAAAAATTGAATAAAGATTAGTCGTGTTTATTATCATTATTATTATTATTAATTATTATTATTATTATTATTATCGTTTGTTTTGTTTCCTTTTTTTCTAATTAGTCGATAAAAAATTTTTGATTTATCGATATTTATTTATATTATTATTTTTTCGAATTCGAGTTCGAGTAGATTTTTCGAGAAAATTAATAACGATGATGATGATGATGATGATTTTTCTCTTGTTTATTACCGTCGTGAAATTTTTTTTTTTTTTTTTTTTGCAATGTCGTCGTCGTCGTCGAAAGTTTTTCCGAGGAAAATTTTTTTTTTTTTAATTTTATTTTTCCGGGTGGTTTTCTTTACGAAAATAATAAAAAAAAATTGGTTGCATAATATATATATATAAAAATTTTTGTTTGTTTCGGTTGTGTTTTTCCGGTATCTGCGGTTTTTATTATTATTATTATTATTATTATTATTATTAATTCGCGTTTGTTTTCGTAAAGGGTAGTTAAAAGATTAAGATTTAAATTTATTATATATTTTTTTTTTCCCTGCCGTTTTCGAAAGAAAATTTGAAAAAAAAATTGTTTATTTTTTTTTTTAATTAGAATTGTATTTTCCGTTATTATTATTATCATTATTATTATTAGTATTAGTATTATTTCTTACCGTCGATTGCATTCGATGGAACATTTTTTTTTTTTTTTTACTTTTAAAATTAATGATAAATCTGTTTATTAAAATAATATTTAAAATTTTATTATTATTATTATTTGTGCATAAAATTATTTATTTTCCGTCGCAAAATTTTCCGGTTTTTTTTTTTTTGTGGCGTATGTGTGAGAGAGAGAGAGAGAGAGAAATTCGTGTGTTCAGTGATAATAATAATTCGTTCTATTTTTTTTTTTAACTGTAAAGTGATTAAATAATAAAAAATTTGTTTAAATTGTGTCAGATTCGTAAGTGAGAGGAATATATATGGAATTTTGTCAAATTAAAAAAAAAAAAAAGGTTTTAAAAAATTGTCTCGGAGTTGTTTTAATTAGTGAAAAAGATTAATTAACGACGACAGTAAAATAGGACGAAAAGGAAAAAAGGAAAAAAAAGGAAAAAGAAAAAAAGAATTTACACCGGCATTTAATCACCGCAACAACATTTATTATTACTTAATTACTTTGGGGAGGTGAAAAAAACGGTTAAAAGTTTGAAATTTTTTTTTTTTTTTTGGATTTAAAACACTTGGCACACCTGATTTTAGGTATATTAAAAAAAAAAGGTAAAAGGTAAAAAAAAAACGTAGCAAAAGATTTTTTCTATTGTGTGTGATGGAAAAACGTGTTACATTTTCTGTGAGAATTAATAATAATGGCCGACGGACCGTTAATTATTACATGGCGGTGGAGGACAAACGACAACCATCATGTTACCGCCACAATCAGCTTTAGTACCGCCCGGCGGTCTGCAAACTTTATTATCGAATAACAATCTTTGATTTCTGCATGGATCTATTCTTTTATATCCTCTTTCTCTGGAATAATCTATACCGTGACATCCACCGCTGGGCCAACAATCCGGCCATGGTTTAACGAGGCAGGGTGGTCGTCCTTGACACGGAGTTCTCGGACAATCGTGTTGCAAACCGTTACGTTTGTTACATTGGCAACACACGTAAAGATTTCCACCCCTAAGTTCTCGGGATTCGCATCTATACGTGTAATCTCTCTGTTACCAACCAAACAAAAAAAAAAAAAAATTAATGTTTGGAAAAGATGGAAAACTTTTCTACTTCACGAACGAACACTAACCGGTTTGGATCTTGGACATGGTCCTTGATTTGCTGAACTCGCAGCTTCTGCAAGGCAATCCGGCGGAGGACAAGGTAAGCAAAGCATCATTTTAACAGGTGGAGGACAACCGCCCACAGGAAGACAGGATGCCTATCAACGACAATAAAAAAAAAAAAAAAATTTCTCAAACCGTAAAGATAATTATTATACTCGTGTAAAAAGGTAACCAAATTTCTGTTGGCGGTTTTATTTATTTATTTTTTTTTTCAACTCCTTGAAAAAGGCCTTTCGTGTTTATAAAATAAAATAATAACATTTACCAAAAGAAATAGGAGAAGACGATTTATTTTCATTACAGACGAACTTACAATGCCCCCCGTTTGTGTTTCTGTTTTGTTTCCCGTACTACAATCAGGTTTCGTTTGTGTTGTTGTTGTTGTTGGTGTCGTCGTTGGTCCTCCACCAGTATTTTTACTATTGGTGTCTTTTCTTTCCGACGATACGGGTATAGGAATGCATAACTGTAGAGGGGCTACTTTTTTCTCTCCTGTCGATTTACATTTCTTTTGAGCATCGGATTGTTCTTGTTCATCGTATCGATATTCTGGAATTATTTGCATGTAGGCCTGGAAAAAAGAAAAAATAAAAATGGTTTTTTAGGTTTAACGACTCGAATTGTTGTCCTTCTCCTCCTCTTTTGTTAATTTATGTTTCACATATCCACAGAAGCATTTTACTTTCTTCCCCCCCCCCCATAATGTTTAAATCCCTTATGATCGTTGGATAATTTTCTTCTTCGTCTTTTTCTTGTGTGTGCTTCTTTTTAATGGTGGACACGTACCTCAATCGAGACCGTTTCTCGGTTTACACACGGGGATGGGTTCGGGTAAATCTCCGTAAGGTTTATTTGGATTTTTTGTAAATAAATGAGTCGTGTTCCCGTAAAAATGTAACATTTCCGGATGTGTTTCGATATAATTTCCATCACCCACCCACGACCTCCTCATTTGGGACATTCTTTTTTTCTTATTTACCCATTCCATAACATCGGATCTTTCCATGAATCCGTGATTCATTATATAATAAACTCCAGGTTGATTCGATGGTTTTCCACGTACTTCAGATGTAACTCTATATTCTAAAAGAGGCGTGTGTACAATTAATGGTATCGGATTTGATGTATAGAATTCTTTTGGATGAGGAACCGGGGATTTTTTCAATTTTTTTTTGGTATCACACGTCTAAATATAACACGATCCATTCGTTAAATTTCTTTTGTTAATTTATATCCCCCTTTTTTTTTTTTTTTTTTTTTTAACTTTTAAATTTAAATTTTAACTTCTTGTTCGGGCCCGTAATTAATAATAATATTAATAATAATTATTTAATTCACGTTGTAATTAACCGTTTTTTTTTTTTTTTAAATGGAAATTATTATTTTTATAACTTACCGCTGGTGGTGGATCAATTTGTTTTTGATAATTAATATCACCATCTTGTTTTCCACAACTGAAAATGATAAAAAAAAAAATTTTTTTTTTTTAAATTACCCAATATTTGATTTTTATTTAATTTTTATTATTATTATTATTATTATTATCGAACCTTTTCATGTTTCCTCCGCATAATTGACAGATAGCAATTTCCATTTGTTTCACGTAAGCTTTTGAAGGTTCACCGCAAGCCATTTATTATTAATATTATTATTATTATTAATATTTTTTTTTAAAGATAAACTTTAATTTATAATAATAATAATTTTGAAATCCGATACTAAAAAACTGATAATTTTGATTTAATTTTGAATTTTTTTTTTTTTTTTAAAAAAAAAAAACCGAAATAAAATTATTAAAAAATTTTAATTGCAATTAATTTTTATTTTTTATCTAAACATTTTCTATTGTTTTTTTGGTTTTTTTTTTGTTTACTTTTGTTTATAATAAAAAATGTTCTTTTACGAACAAAGTTTTACAAAACTTTGATCATTTTTTCGAACGTTAATAATAATTTTTTATCCATAAAAAAAAAAAAAAATAAATAAAAACTTCCAATTAATAATAATAATAATTTTATTTAATTTATTTCAGTCACGTTACAATTTTTTTTTAATTCTTACAACTAATAACTATCGTAATGTTTTAGCCTGTAAAGATGAACTGTTTTATTATTATCACCAACAGCGAAAAATCCGCTGTTTTTCGAAAAATCCAAAGACATCGGTTTCTTCACTTCGGATTGTACGAGTGGAAAATTCGAGAAAACCGTCATGGAAGATGTGTTTAAAAGTTTCACTCCGGTTTCTTTGCAATTGGAAGCCATGCTTAAAATTTCACCCGTTGAATTAAACAGTAAAGAACTGATGGATGTGGTAAGATTGAAAATTGATTTGATGGGTTTGACCGCTCGACTATTATTAACAGAATCCGAATTGTAAATATTGACGACTCCAGAATTCGAACCCGTTGCTAAAAATTGATTGTTGCTGGAAACTGCCAGGCTCGTACCTATTATGCAACCGTCGTCTATGAATTTATTTACGCATGATCTCGTTTTCATGTTCCAAACGTAAATTTCACCTTCGACCCCGTGAGAATATAATATTGAACCGTCGCCGTTGAAACAAATTTCCGTTACGTTGCAATTCATTTGCAGAGTGTCGATGAATTCTTTGCTGGAAACTGAAAACAAATAAATTTTTCCACTCGGTCCGCAAACGGCAAACACGTCGTCGTTTGGTGACACGCAAAATTTTTTCGTGTCTTTAATATCGATTATTTTTGATTCGTCTATCACCGTCGACCTTCCCGTTATCATGTTGTGACAGTGAAAAAAATTACAATGAGAACCTATTAAAATCTCTTCTCCATTTTTTAAAAACCAACCACAATAAATTGGATATTTTTTAAATTTAATCGATTGTAATTTCGTATTGACTTTTCCATCGACTTGAAATAGGGAAATCTTTCCAGAACTTCCAGCGACCATGGCCAACATTGATTTCGTATGAAATTTAACAACACTAACTATGGAGCCCTCGGCGAAACTTTCGTCATTTAAATTTTTCATTTTACTTATTGTTAAGTTATCACTTTTTAAACCTTTTGTTTTTTTTACAAATTCACCACAGTGCGATAAAAAATCATTCGGGCCTTGTGCATCTTTTTTTTCTTTTAATTGTGCCCATTTTGGAATTCCCATTAATTCTTGAAATTTTTTTTCCATTGCATTCCTATATTTTGCCTTTCCGCTATTATCTATTTTTTCATTTCTACCTTGATTTTTTAATACTTCATTTAGAGTTTTATCATCGTCATCATCCACCCAAGCAGGTTTTCTCGTCTCGATAAAATTTGATTTTTGTTTCTTAGTCGGAACATCACTGTCATAATCACTGTCACCTGATTCGGAGGGTAACTTTTCAAATATTTCTTTTCCTGTACCCAAAATAACTTTTTCTAAATGTTTATATTCTTCATCATCTTCTACATTGAGACCCAGACCAAAATTTATTGACTTTTTTTGTTTTTTACTTTTGGGTTTGTAATACTCCTTCCAAGACATATTGAATTATTTATATTTTTTCTGGAAAAAAGGGGTAAAATATAATTTATAAACACACGTTATGAATGAACATGTGGCCATAAAAAATAATATTTATTTAATAATAATTTCAATAATAAATTGACCGAAACAATTTTACCTTGATAAAATAATTAC